CTCCATGAGAGGGCTCACCACAATTGCAGTAGAACACAGCTAGCCACAGATAGCTGTATTCAAATAAGCCCGTCCCGGCCAAAAACAATGGCTGGAATATAACCACCCTCAGAAAGCTATATTAAGGATGTCCCAAATCCGTGTCAATCACACAGTAGGCTAGCAAAGCACCGTGCTATTGACCAAGATCTCACAAAAGGGAGATCCAGACATCAGTAAATGATTCGCTAAAGAACGAACACAAACATCATAGTCCAAGATCAAGCCTGATATAAGCAGTAGCCATAGCACTAGAGGGCTGGACACAGCTATCCTCGAATAGCAGTTCTCTCAGATAAGGCTGAAGATTGCCCAGGCCAAGGAAGTGGGCCATCTATTTAAAACCCCGAAGGGGAGACAGCACAAATCAAGTCACCTTTATTTATATAGCGCATTTAATAATACAGATTGTGTCAAACAGTACAGCATTAATTAGGAAAATATTGTGTCAACAATGCAAAATGACAATAGTAAACACTCAATTTTCAGTTAAAAGCAGTTCATCATTGAATTCAGTGATGTCATCATCCAGCTCAGTTCAGTTTAAATAGTGTCTGTGCAATCAAGTCGACGATATCGCTGGAAATTAAGTGTCCCCAACTAAATAAGCCAGAGGCGACAGCGGCAAGGAACCAAAACTCCATCGGTGACAGAATGGAGAAGAAACCTTGGGAGAAACCAGGCTCAGTCGGGAGGCCAGTTCTCCTCTGGCCAGACGAAACCAATTCCAGGCTGTAGCAATTTCACATTGTGCAGTGGACTCAACTGGTTCATGTGGTCTTGTCCCGGAGGCCGTCTAGGAGACAAGGTCTCTGGGGCTCATCTAATTGTCCTGATCTCCGCTGACATTCATGGCTGTAGAGGTCCTTTCTAGGTGCTGATCCACCATCTGGGCTGGATACGTACTGGATCCGGGTGACTGCAGTGACCATCTGATCTGGATACAGACTGTATCTGGTGCCTACGGTGACCTCGGAATAAGAAAGAAACAGACAAATATTAGCGTAGATGCCATTCTTCTAACGATGTATCAAGTGCATCAGGTGTTATGGGAAGTGTTCCCGGTTCCGGTTGTCCTAATTAATGCAGCCTAAAAATCCTTTAACGGATTTGAGTATTAGAAATGTGTTAGTGTGTTATGTATAAACCAGGTTAAAGAGATGGGTCTTTAAACTAGATTTAAACTGACAGAATGTGTCTGCCTCTCGAACAATGTTAGGTAGGTTATTCCGTGGCACAGTCCAGGCAAGGGGCTCACAGAGACCACAATCTAAAAACCCTAAAAGGGAAGCGGTCTCCGCACTGAAACACAGCTATCCTCGAATAGCAGATTCCTAAACAAATACTTCAGCACTTACTCGAGAACTTGCGCCAAGGGGAACCCAACCTAGTTATTAAAATCTATGCTAGAATATAGCTGCCCTCAGACCGCCATATTCCAGAGCAAAAAAATATTCCCCATAACCACTCTAGATGCTGAAAACCCTGGGAGAGAAAACTCGCAAGCTTCTCTCCACAGAATATTTAAATATATTCACGCTCAGCGAGGCTCTCCACACACAATAATATGCATGTCAGAGAGGCATGGCCGAGCTGAATATAGCTCTGCCCACGATCTCGCAGGATCAGGGCTGAAACGACTCTGTGCTCACACTTCAACGTCATAACAACCCAACAATATCCGTGGCATCTGACAACCCTTATAGAGAGGGTGTGCAGATGCCGCAGATCAAAGCGATGACCACTAGGTGAGATAAACTGTGCCACGGCATCAGCGAAACCGGGCCGCGAGACACAAACGCTCTGTTCCGTATCCCTCGGGAATTGAAACAAACGTGAGCGGAGCCTAGACATCGTGACTCATCACAATGTGCACGTAACTCTGAACGCGCGTGCTCTTCGCCGAGACAAACGCAAAAGCAAAAAATGCCCTTGAGTGTTAGAATCCAAACACGGAGGCACACATTCCCTAAGGCGCTGCTCGACTCGAGTGCTATCCGCAGGATCCGATAACCCAAAAAGGGCATCTCAAAACTCAAATGGGATAAACGTGAATGGAGCTTCTCATTGGATAACACTCACAATGAGTGCGTTCAGAGCCCTCGAGCACTGAACGCGCAAGCTCCCGACCAAAAACAGATGACAGATAGATCGTGCGCGTCCTCAAGTGCCAGAAACCTCTGGAACGGAGGCACACACTTTCCACACCTGCCTTGGTCTCTCACACACACTTCAAACAGACGTCATGGGCCAGGTGGGCCAATAGATTGGCATTGTTTCACACGTGCTTCAGACACTGGTCATGCAGGCTGCATTGCCCTAGGGGGCACAGCGTTGAGTTCCCTAGAAGGGGAACTATGGGGATAATGCTTTGCAAAGCTGTGTATTTCTGACGGAGAACTCCTATAACTCTTTCAATATGTATCCTAAGAGACGCTAAGTGTCTTGTACTCTCCAAGTCAACAGGATCTAATTGTTTTTTTCCATGTGTGAATGCTGGAATCTTTAGTTCAGCTTGCTGAGTACGGATGGACTCTCTGACATTGAAACTTCTGTCTGCCAAAACCAGGTCTCCTGGGAGCAAATGGGTTAAAAAAATTACTGTGCTCTGTGATGAAATTGTCACTCTCCATCCATTGGAAATGAAAGAAATGGAGCCTTGTGGACAAATGGCAATTCAATATTTCATTGTATGGTGTGACTTGTATGCTGAATAACACTGAGCACTGCCTAATAAGTTTCTAGGTTTTTCTATAAATCTTTCAAAACAATCAATAATGCACGCTGTCTTTTCAAAAGTACTGTTCCTAAATGCATATGGAAGAGATTTTCTTAAAGATTCCCTGTCAGGCCATACAACTAGACTTGGCACTAGTCTACAATACATTACATTAATACAGCTTTTGAAAATTCTTGAAACAATGATCGGATCAGTGCCAAAGTAATAAGCCGAAAACTCAAAAGAGATATTCAAGCTTCCTTAATGTTAGCATATACTGCTGAAATAATGTTAGGCTAGACTTAGGCATGAGATAGGGAGCTACAACATGAAACAATGTCATCAGTAAAGAATAAGTTTGTAAACCTGTGATGATATTTACCTTTTTATCATTGTTTTGTAATGTTCTCTCCTTCAATGCAGTTCTATTTTTTTTCTCTTTTAACAACATATTTTCAGTCCACAGAGCTTCACATTCCAATTCCAGAGATTGAGTGTATTTCTTACAGTTTTCATTATCACATGGTGAAGCTGCTGTATCATAATTTTCTTCAGGAATAGGGTGAACATTTTCAAGTTCTTTGTGGGTAATGTTCGATTAGTTCACCTGGTGTGCAGTAGGATGCTTGCTGCTGTCTTGAGGACAAACTGTTACTGCTGAAGCTGATGACTTTGCTGCTTGCTCTATTCTTTGGAGTTTGCTCTTCTGTCTTCTGTTGAACACATCTAACTTCTGCCGCCTTCTTTTCTTCTCTGGGGATGGAACATGATTGAAGATAGATGTGACTTAGTCGGGTGAAAGAGGGTTGTCACTCTTTTTCCCTAAAACAATATTAAACAGAAATGGCAACAATTTAATGAGAATTAAGCTTCTTTTAGGCTAGCTACATTACCTTTTCATTTAACTGACACTTTAATCCAAAGCGACTTACGAGTAGTCTAAGTACTAACATTGAAGTTACACAGCAATGAACTTTAGTTAACAGAAAAGAATACCAACTAGTGAACCCTAACAGTTAAGTAAATCAGTAAAACAGCATGAGCTACTACTAGTAATAACAAGAGGATGCCATGCAGAACATAATATAGTGCAGCAGAGAATTAAAGTGCATAAGTTAAAGTACCACACAAGACAGCTGTCAAGGGATAGTAGTGCAAGGCTAGCAAGCTTTTGTTAGCCCCACAAAATCTACACCACACTGCAAGTGAAACTTGAAATCGTCAGAAACCATTTTAAACATGTTAGCTAGCCAAGTTACATTAAAAAGATCATACCTGATATGAAGTGATCACTGCACAAGCGAAATCCATTGCTTGATGGCTCCCATCGCTCGGTTTTGCTGTGTTCATTAGCACATTTTAATTGCAATGAACCATTTTGGCCGTCTATCGGGATCCTTTGGAATACGATAAAATGATTTCCCCTTTGCTTTCCCCCACCTGCTCTGGCATCCTGGCGCACAGCAGCTGTCCACCATGTTATAGTAAGTAAGGTTTGTAAGGTCTAAATAGTTTTAAATTATTGTTCGACCACTGTCGATATGAATGCTAAGTTACAGCTGCTCTAGCGCTCTCCTGATGGCCTGCCAAAATGGCGGAGTTTAGATTGCATGACATCAACCATTCAAACGTGCATGTTAATTAATCAGCGTATCGATCTGGATGATCTCGCCTCCCAGTGAAACTCCTTTTCCAAATCTCTACACACTTGACGCTTTCGGATTTTGAAAGGGCACACGTGTTGTTTTAGATAACTATTTTACAGTTCACAGACTCACAGACACTTCCTATTCACGGTTGAAAATGAAACTTCTGTTGTGCTTGAAACAAGTTCCAAATGCAACGGCAAACACATAAACAGCACATTCTGTTCAGTAAATCAGAAATCCAGTTAACTTAAGCAGTTTATAGCTACAGTTTGTGGTTTGGCTTCCCTTCCATGTAGATAAATAAAATATTTATTATGATATAATAACTCTTGTATAATAATAATAATAATAACATCAACAACAACAACAACAATAATAATAATAATAATACATAAAAGGGGCAAGTGTTTTTTTTAAAGAATAGAATTAAAATAGAGAGTACTAGAGTTAGAGGGTCAAATAAAGATGGAAGAGATGTGTTTTTAGCCAATTCTTGAAGATGGCTAAGGACTCAGCTGCTCGGATTGAGTTGGGCAGGTCATACCTCCAGGAGGGAACATTTAATGTAAAAGTCAGTGAAAGTGGTTTTGTGCCTCTTTGGATGGCACAATAATTTTGCAGAATGCAAGCTTCTAGAGGGCACATAAGTCTGAAGTAATAAATTTAGGCAAAGGGGTGCAGAGCCTGTGGTGGTTTTCTAGGCAAACATTAATGCCTTGAATTTTATGCGAGCAGCTATTGGTAGCCAGTGCAAATTGATAAACAGAGGTGTGACGTGCGTTCTTTTCGGCTCATTAAAAAACAATCTAATAATAATAATAATAATCTAATAATAATAACAACAATAATAATATTTATAATCATAATAAGCCTCTTTTTTTCCCCAAGAGCTCTGATCTTGAAATACGTTGCAATACTTTAATGACTAATATAGATTAATGCCCTTTTTTATTATTATTTTTAAGACATGTTATCACATTTGTAAAATGTAATTTATATATATTTATGAGGTGATGCATAAAAATAAGAGCATCAAATCAAAAATGTATTTTAAATGTCACATGTGGTCTACACTGAGCACTGGATCTACATTATTAATGCTGTAGCAGACCCTGTGTCCGTCTTTAAGGGATCTGATTTCTCTGTGTTCAGTGAGAAAGGCACACATGACTCTGGCTGGGGCCCTTCAGCTGACGGGTATCAGATTTAACCACCCTTTCTTTGCCAGGAACATCAGAGGGTCAAGGAGAGAGGTGCTTGATAGGGACAAGACAAGCAAAGGAGAGAAAGTGGCATGAATTGGAAGCATGTAAAACTATCAGGGGTGTATGATTATTAGGGCTTTTACATTGATTGAACAACTCAGACATTTTTCCATTGCATTGATCGTATTGTTTTGGTGTCAGACTTTAACCCCCAGCCTCACAAATTTTAACTAAAAGAAAGACCATGCACACCTCAAGATATAAGTGGTACAGTCCACAACTGAGGAACACCTGTTGCTTCGGGAGGATTCTTTTCGTGTAACATGGGAATGAGCTTGTGGGGAGGGGGTTATAAGCAGAGTTTGTGACCCCTTTGGCATGTGTTCCAAAATAGAAAGGGATTTTTAAGCTATGAAAAGCTGGACAATAGAGACTAGGTCAGCCCAGCTGACCACTCTTGGCTAATGCTGTTGGGTTCCAAACCACCAGGCTGGGTATCTGGACTCTCTTGACCCAGCTAATCACGTGGTGGAAGCTGAACCAACAAAGTGAATCTTTGAAAATCTCAAACCATACATTCAAATAATACTTTCAGCTTATTAGTGAGGATATACAGAATGTCTAACAGTGCATTAATGTTTAACTTTATAGTAATTAGTCTCAGTTCTGCACAAAATGTAATGTGTCTTTCTCTTCAGGTCTGTGCAAAGACATAAAAAATAATAAACGGAACTAAAGCAAACTTCATGCAAGCCATGCTACGGTACCCTTACTCTTTTACGCAATGACACATAAGGACAATTTGTGCGTCGACAAACCAACCTTGTAGGACCGGAGCTAATGGAAAGTCTGGTCACTGTTGCTACACTTTTCACATAGATCTAAACCCCTCCCCTCCGCCTCAGCCCAAACTTCAAGAATAAATGCGGGTGGAGAGTGTGTGAGCATGTGTCCCCATGCCCTCCTCTTCAAACCTCATGTGTCACAGAGAAAATTATAGACACTGGAGTAACACTTGAGCCTAGATCCATATTCTATACTTTTTTGTCTAGCTCTTGTCTATGTGTGTGTTTTAAAGGACCAATTAAATTCACAGATCAGTGCTTTGGAATAATACTGTTTGGAGAAGACTTGCGAGACAGGACCAAAACTTTGAGTCTCGCAAGCTCAGCGTCATGCCGGCTGGGTTTCAGCAGCTGGGAGGGGAGGTAATGAAAATATATATTATGTATTATGTATGTTAGATAGTGTGATCTGCGATACACTCTGATGATGACTGTTTAACTTGAATCTTTAAAATATAAACATTTTAATCCCAATTTTTAATTGCTTATAATTAAAACAAAAGTATGTTTGTTTACAGTAATGGCTGTGCTGTTAAAAACCTAAAATAATAGATTGTGAGAATGTGTCTGATTAAATATTACATTCACATTCAGATGTAAAGCTTCTGTCAGTTCTGATAAGATGATAAAGTTGTCCCAAAATATTGCGATCCAGCGAGAGTATTAAATGGCAATAAAGTCAACATTGCAGTTGGAGGAAGTATGTAAATGGTCACATGTTTCAAGGTCAAATCTTTGCTTTTATATGACCTAGATGTACTTGGTAAAGCATTGCAGTCACACAGTGGACTTTAAATTATAAATTGTAACTAGCTGAATACTGATACTTAATCATACCATTACAGTAATCATGACCCTGAGACACCACTAATTGCCAACCTCAACAATATTGTTATTATGCCAGTATGTGTAAAGACCTCATTTAACGTTTTGTATATATTTGCAAAAGTACAGTACACCTCTAGACATGATAAGCAAGTCTTGGACTATTATTAATCTTACGAGTTGAATCATCCCTTGCACCCAAAAAGCACCGAGACAAGGAACCTATACCCCGTGCAGAACTTCTTTCGCATTCTTTACTTCGAGAAATATATGTTGCATTTACATCTCGTATCAAAAAAGAGTAGTTTTTAAACATTTATTTAGCTGAAACTGAAAAATAAAAATGCTTTGCAGACATACTGTCTCTCTTGACATTGTTTTCATGTATCATTACAAAACACATTGTAGCCGAATCTCAAAATAGCTGGGTCATGCCAGGGGAAAAAAAAAAAAAGTTAACTCTAAAAATGGCAAGACCATAAAGAGACATCAGAAAATTAATTTATTGCTATTTTCCATCTTATTTGGACACATATAATACAACTTGATAATTTTTTTTTCAAAAAATGACTTTTAATTTTGATTTTAATGTTCGTATCCCACAGGATACGTTGCCAGTTTGGGGGTATAAATTAACTGAAAACAGAACACTTGTTTATCAATGCTTGATACAACATGGTTGTAATTCCTGAACACTTTTGAATACAGACCTAAGGTTGGTCTCTTTTTAAAGAAGACACAAAGCAGATTATTGCTGAAGTGAAAGCATTAAAAAAAATAAAGTATAAAAAAGTTATAGAAGTTTAAGTTTGCCGTAAAGATAATGCAGTATACTATTTTTTAAAAAATTGTATATAAAATAAATACTTTATAAAATATGTTGCGCTTCAAATTGCTATAAAATGTAAACCAAGTTATGTTCCAAATTTGAAGTTGATATCACCAAAATTGTGGTTCCTGTGAGATTTTGTTTGGGTACTATACCAAAAATAACCACTGGGTAACACTCAAACTCTATTGAATTCTTTTGATGCAGTTTTCTGTCACAAATCAATAATTTTCTGTCACAATATCACTTCTATTACAAAACAGTCACCAAATATGGAACCTTGACTGTCAGACCGTTCCAACTATTTTTGTCAAGATTACAAAAAGATTTGATTTTGTAAAACACAAGCCACAAAATCACAGAGTATATATATTTAAACATTTAAAGACAGATTACAAAAAATATAAGCATTTAATTCATAAAATTTCAATTTAAACATAATAAGCTAATGCTGAACAACAGCTTTTTAAACAGGTAAGTCCCCTCCAACATGTGTAAATATGTGAACTAGATCAACTTTTATAGGTGGGTGAGTAGATTTCCCACTACAGGCGGCCATGCAGTTTTAAATGCTGCCCATGAGCTAAACAAAGAATGTATGAACAAAGTAAATATATCTAAATATTCACAACAAACACCCTTTCAACATGTACTGTAACTAAGAAATGAGACCTACACTTTCCCTGCCTCTCGCCACAGCCTCTCAAATGTTTGGATGCCACAGGATACGTTGCCAGTTTTAGGGTTAATTTAGTTTCTTTTTTGTCTTTATAAAAAAATGTAAATATGAGCAACAAATGTTTTTAATTTATTTTATATAGAATTCATTTAGATATGCACATTATAAGATTTTTTCAAACACACACATATATATATATATATGTATATATATGTATATACACACACACAGCATTTGGTTAGAGAGGTGTGTTTGACTTCTAATTAGTAGTGTCAGCAGATATAAACAAGAAAGGGTCTGCTTTGTGCTGCGCTGCTGTCACTCAGTGAAAAGACAGGTGTGTGGCCCATGCTGCTAATGCCACATGAACCACAAAGACATAGGAACAGACTGAACCATTTACCTCTAAACACATGACAGACAGAACAGATCAAAATAAGTATAAATCTTAAAAAGCCGCAATCCTTAATTAAAAATGAAGATAGAGTAATCAGATGCATATTTTGCTTTTAACATTTCAAGTTTTGAACATGACTTAATGGTTGCGTTGTATGCTCAGGTTAAGGCAATTATGTCCCTGAGGGTCTGCATAGCCATCCAGTTAACAAGATCACCATCAATATCTCTCTTACATGTTTATCTACAACGATTCTAAATATATATGTGCATTTTAGTCGAATGTATAAATATGGAATTACAATATTTATCAATATAAAATACATATTTATAATAATAGATAGACAGGTCTGAGGATGACAGTATTGCTGTAATAACCTCCTTTTTTGTAACTGTTACATTACAGATTTGTATCTGTTTCATTTTGATATTTGGCTATATTTGAATAGTTCAATTTGTAAATTAGTTAACATGAACTAACAATAAAAATACTTTTAAAGCATGTATTAATCATAGTGAATGTCAATTTCAACATTTACTAACATTAAAATCAAAAGTTGTGTCTATTAATATTTAATGGGCCTGAGCTTTTTACATTTTTATTAACTAAGGTTACCAAAGATTAATAAATACTGTAGCATATCTATTGCTCATTTACAGTTAATGTTAATGTCAGTTAATGCATTAATTGACATTAAACAGTTGGAGCTTACTGTAAAGTGTTACAGATTTGACCAACAGTGTGCAGATAAAATTGTTCTGCTTCAATTGACTTATGATATTGCAGTTATAAACATTGTACATTTTGGTGTCCTGCAGAAAATAACTGGAACCCTCGCACTGTCAGTGTTTACTGCTGTTCTGGGTTCCCTTCAATTTGGCTACAACATTGGAGTCACCAATGCTCCACAGAAGGTAATAATTAATCTATACTTAAATCAGTTGCTCATAGATATTTTGGACATATTATAATTGTATTGTTAAAGCTTAGTTACGAAACAGCTGGATATGTTGTCTAAATGATTGTGACTATTTATGAACAGTGACCTAATATTTAAAGTATTTAAATATATATTATGTTTTAATATTCAGCTATGATCATTTCAAGTACATCTACAGTCCCTCAAAATCATTTTTATACCATTTAAATTATTTTTTTAAATTTAACTCCAATGTGTCATTATAAGCTTCCAAAGTGTGAAAACATTTGTTTACCTCTTACAATGTACAGCAAATCAAGAACATCTAATTCTAGAGTGTGCTTTGAGGGCACATGGGAGAGCCAAAATGTAGATGTGACATTTCCAGCTTATGCTTATGTTATTGTTTCATCTACTAAAGGTCACATTTTGGAAATCTCTCTGTTCTTGTGCCAGGAAAAATATATACAGTACTATGCTTTACCATCACAGGAATAAATTACATTTCAAATTAAAAAATTTTTTATTTGTAATAATATTCACAGTATAACTGTTTTTCTGTATTTTTGATCAGTTAAATGCAGCCTCAGTAATGGTAAGGCAAAAAATTCAAAAACATCTCTCAAAAATATTTTAAAAAATCTTTCTGATCCCCAAATATCTGAATAATAGTGTACGTAAACCCCAAATGTGCTCCAACTCTTTTGCCCATAAATTCAATGATTTGTGAGTAAAAAATGAGTAATTTTACATTTGTATTCATGTACAGCTCAAAAATTGCATTGGTCTGTGCCTCAGATTCAGCACAGCTGAAGCCCTTTCTCCTGCTTTAGAAAACAATTCTAGGCATTTGCATTCAGATGTGATAAGAAAGATATGTTCTGTCATGAGGGTGAAAAGTAATATACAAAACATAAAATTAACTAATGCTGTAGCATAAGAATTTGAATGTGATATGGGGCTGAATTTTTCCTAGGAGTACTAATGTCTCATCATGTCACCCTCTTCTTGTCTTCCCTTGTTTCTCCATCTATTTGACCTCAGATCATTGAACAGGACTATAACTCAACATGGATGGAAAGATACGCAGAACCAATCCCTCCACAAACTCTGACATCTCTGTGGTCACTCTCTGTTGCCATCTTCTCCATTGGGGGCATGCTGTCCTCCTTCTCTGTGGGAATCCTCTCAGAGTTCTTTGGCAGGTGAGCTCTATACTGACTTTTTATTATATATGAAACTGAATGTAACTAAAAACAAATAATGTTCGGACTTAAGATTGAAACGGTACTTAAATATTGTGGCACATCAATGATAATGATCAGCAGTCGTATGTTTCTTATTTATTGACTGATTGTAAAACCACTGTAAAACCACCATCAACTTCAATGTATCGATAATATAATATTACAATATCTATTTTTATATATAGTGTAGTGATTAAATAAGAATGGGGATGGGGATGGGGATGGGCAAATGCAAACCATACCATTAAGTGAAAAAGTTTAAGAAAGGACTGGGTTATTGTTTATCTAATTAATCCAAAGTGATTTTAGCTAATCTTACTATAGGGCAACTTTGTTGAAGGGCATAGTGGTGATACCGGCATTCAGATCTCCAGTTATGGGTTACAATCAGCTAGGTAATGATGACCTGTACTTAAGATTTCATGGACAGAGATGGCCACAGTGCTTTCCTTTGTGATTGATTTTAGCTGGCATGCATAACATTGGGGTGGCACACCTGTACTCACCTACAGAACATCAGAAAACATACTGTCAGCAGAGGTGACAAAATGTCCTTTCAATATATGGAGGAAATTAATGGGATTTCTGTTCTGTTTCTTGAAATTGTAAAATCCAAAAGTTTCAATTTTGTTTTCATACAGGTACATTATTTGATGTTCTCTGTTTATGCTAGGAGGAAAGCAATGCTTATCAATAACGTCCTTGCGTTTATTGGTGGAGGCCTGATGGGAATGTCCAAAATCAGCAGGTCAATTGAAATGATGATTTTAGGACGCTTTACCATTGGGGCATATTGCGGTAAGCATTCACTCTTTTTCTTACACACTACAAACAAGGTATCTAGGACATATTAAAGGGGTCATATGATGCTATTTTAAAGCTCATTATTTTGTGTATTTGGTGTAACAGAACATGTTGACATGCTTTAATGTTCAAAAAACACATTATTTTAAAAATACTTTACATTATTGTAGTTCCCCTATGCCCCGCCTCTCTCAAACGCATCGTTTTCTACAAAGCCCCTCCTTCTGACAAGCACAGTCTGCTCTGATTGGCCAGCTGACCCAGTGCATTGTGATTGGCCGAACACCACAAGCACGCGTCGGAAATGTAACGCCTTTTTCCATAATCGCAAGCTTCAGCTTTCAACATAAATTTAAAGACAGTACATAATGTCCTTAGTTTTACCATCAGTTCAAGCCCGAAAGGGGAACAGAGTCGCGTGACAGACACAGGATATACTAAAAGAGTACATTAAAGTTTATTTAATTACAGTTTATTCTTAAATGTTCTTTCAGCTGAAATTATTCATTTAGTTGAATTTCTTTTCTGTGATCAACTTTTTATTATGTTACAGAATCTACATACAAAAATACAAACAAATATTTGAATCCTTTTCTCCATATGTAACCCTCCCACATACCCAAGGTGACCAAACCCTCCATTCCCTTCTCCCAATAATAACTTGAAAATATAAAACATTTTCAAAATAGTGCAAAACAGAAACCAAATACAGTAACTGAAAGCATAAAGTTAGAAACATAAGACATAGATCTGACACCAGTTTTTGAGATTGCATCTATCCATGCTGAGATAGTCTTCTGAGAAACTCCATGTAATCTTGCTACTGAAAACTCCATATTTGCAATGCCCAGAAATGACTGCATCCAGTGAGTACATACTAGAGAGTGTGGAGGATTCCAGCGCATCCAGCAGCGCAGAGCATTTTTTAGCAACTGTAAGTCCACAGAAAACAACTTCTTCTGAGTTAGAGAGAAAGTGCAAAGGGAATCATCAGTTAGAAGCAAAAGTCTCGGGCAACAAGCTACCTCCTAGTCCAAAATGTCCTTCAAAGTTGTGGAAACCTGTCTCCAAAATGTGTTGACTTCAGGGCAGTCCCAAAACATATGCATATACAGTATGTACCTATGCATCCATTAGAAGGAGGTGGAAATCTTCATTAAATTATGCTTCCTGGGAGTGAGATACATCCTATGAATCATCTTAAAATAAATCAACTGATGATTAGGATTTTTAGAGACATGTTTCAGATTTGCCCATATTGAATCCCAACATATGTTATTACTGTCCTCTGAGCCAGCCACATTAATATCTCTGTACCAAATATCTTCAATTGGGAGCCTTTTATAAGAAGCCTCCAAAAATAACATATACAACAAAAAAACATACACTGTGTATCCTCATATGAAGTAAGCAATTTATGTAAGGTGAGACAAGGAATACTAGAGCCCCAAGGGACCCCATATGCAAGCATGGCAGACCTCAAACGCAGATAAAAGATAAAAGAAGTACCTGGTATTTTGCTCATAAATGATTGAAGGACTGTAAACCACTGTCCCCCCAAACATCGGCCAAAACATTGATCACTTTATCACTCCAATCAGAGAAAACAAAAGTTTAATTGACTGAAAGAAGTTTGTTATTATGGCATAATAGGGAATGACAATTATGATCATTATGGGAAAACTTTGAGGCAGACCCCCAGATAGAAAGAATATATGACATTACAGGACCAATAAGTTGTTTCACATTCTTTAATGGAATGTTGCAATAGATCAAATCCTGAAATCTATATAGTAGAGCCAGATTAAATTAAATCGGCTGCCAAGATACATTCGAATCAGGATTCAGCCAGACTGCGGGAGATAAACGCCCAATGATAAAGCTTAAAGTCAGGTATTGCAAATCCACCAACATCCCTGCAGTGCTGCAGTGTTGAATATTTTATATGGTTGGGGGGGGGGGGGACTTGTAAAGAAAAAGGAAATGTTGACCAATGAATAAACATTTTCTACA